TCAGGGTGTCCTCTGTGAAGAGAACATGCGTGCCATTCGCTTCGACATCCATGATGTGACCCTGCATACAGATGCTATTCACCGTGGTGGTGGCCAGATTATCCCCACAGCCCGCAGAGCTCTGTATGCTTGTGAGCTCACAGCTGAGCCCAGAATTATGGAGCCCGTCTACCTTGTCGAGATCCAGGTCAGTGTTTTTCCCCTGTGATGTTTTAGTTTCCAATTTGTAGCTCGTGGAAAATGGCACAGGGAAAGTTGTATCCAAAGCTTGTGTCAATAGGTGGATTGTACGGGACAGAAAAATAAAAAAATACTACAGTTATTAAAGTCATTAAAAGTGAAGTACGGAATACTTGGATTTCAGTGTTGGTGCAGTTAACACTTTGATAGACTGCTACGTTTAAAAGGGAGCCAGAAGGTTAAAAAAAAAAAAAGTTCGGTATTCTGGTTCAGTGAATCAAATTAGCTGAGATGAAGTATTTCATTGCTTAATAAGTACCCAACTTTGACTAAAGCAGAGTCTCTAATAATACAGTTTAAATGGTTGAGTTGCAGGGCTGATGGTTGCTGCCAGCTAAACCTTGCAAATCTCTTTAATTCTAAATCTTGTTGAACAAGTTTACCACACCTTTCAATGCACTACAGAGTTTAGTAATGCTGATTTTACTCTTTTTATCACAGCTCACTTTAATAGCATTAAACAAACTGAAGTCGGTACCACTCACCATCTGTTTGCTCCACAGTGCCCTGAAGGTGCAATGGGTGGGATTTACGGTGTGCTGACCAGGAGGCGTGGTCATGTGTTCGAGGAGTCCAGGGTCATGGGAACACCTATGTATGTCATCAAGGCCTACCTGCCTGTCAACGAGTCATTTGGTAAGTCCTCTTTTGTTCTGAAGAGTCAAACGGCATCATCATCATCTAAGCTTAATGTTCAGGTTTCAATCCCAAGTTGAAAAATTACCAACAGGTGAAAGTTTGCTTGTTTTCTGTATTTTAAAAATGAATATGAAGCTGTTTTATATTTAGTAGGGGTGCAACAATACTCGTATCGATATTGAACCGTTCAATACAGTACTTTCGGTTCGGTACGCATATGTATCGAACAACACAAAAATTTTTATTTATTTTATCAACTTTCCTTCTGACAATGCTGTCTGTGTTGAGCGCTCAGTGGATCTGCGCTCGTCAGTGCAGCCTAGGCGGAATAGTCGAACGCAGATTCACTGAGCGCAGTGCAAGCTAGCGAGACAGAAGTTAAGCTCTCCTTGCAACATGGCGAATTGAACCTCCCCCACCCTCATTCAGATCTGGGGTTTGGAACTATTTTGGTTTTCATGTGACGTATGACCCTGAAGGTAAGCGCGTCATGGACAAAAGTAAAACAGTATGTTGGATGTGCCAATGTTCAATTACATTGGTGAGAACTAGTGCGTTAGCGCAGTTAGCTCCTTAATGTGTTGACACCGTCCAGCCCCACACACGGGGCGATCTGCGGTAGTTCGTTAATGGAGACTTGCCGTGTTGTGGTGTTAACGTCATTTCAACTAGATTAACGCTGACAGCACTAGTGGGAACACAACGAATATGACTGCACATTTACGCCGACATCATCCTAGTGCAAAGACAAGTGGAAGCAGACAAAAACAACAAGCACGCATGCTACAAACTTTACCCGAGTCATTTAGACAGCCGTTAGCACATGATTCTCCTTATGGGGACCTGATATGTTTAATATGCTGCTGAGAATATAGCCCAGAGGAAGCGTATAGTATAGCTTTTATTTTGGAAAGAGACATTTCTCTGTAATAAACTCTCTTTTCCAAAGATGAGTGATTTCTCGATCAGAGATTTATTTTTTTTATTACTTTGTTTCAGCAACATTAAATTTAAAAACTGTACTTTTGAGTTAAAATATATATTTATAATTTTAATAAATGACAAATTAAAAAAGCATGAACTTTTTTCTTTCTTTTTTTTTGTATCGAAAAAATATTGAACCGTGACATCAAAGTATCGAACCGGACCGTGAATTTTGTGTATCGTTGCACCCCTAATATTTAGATGTGACTAACAGGGGGGAAAAAATGTGTTTTTCAAGTCATGTGATACTCTGAGTATACGAGGTATTAAATAATACTTTCTGTCACCAGGTTTCACAGCTGACCTGCGTTCCAACACTGGTGGCCAGGCCTTCCCACAGTGCGTGTTTGACCATTGGCAGATCCTCCCTGGAAACCCACTGGATGCCACATCCAAGCCTGGTGTAGTTGTCCTTGAGACACGTAAACGTAAAGGTCTCAAAGAAGGTGTCCCAGCCTTGGACAACTACCTGGACAAATTGTAAAAGCTTGGACACCCCTCTTGGCACTTGTCTCATTCCTCCATGCCCAACACATTTAAGTCTACGTTGTGGGACCGGACTGTACAGAACAAAGTGAGCACTAATGTTTGCCAAAAGGATTGACAATAATTAAGAAATGACTACAAAAATTGTAAACGATAAATAAAAGAAAATAAAAACTTTTATGTATCAAGCTGCTTTCTTTATTGGGGATGATTGTGTGGGTAGTTTTCTTTTTTGTTTTGCCCACTCGTAAATCTGGTGAAAATGTTGAATTTGGAATGATTATTCTTTATTTGCTTTTAGCCTGGCCTGTACTTCTTTCTTTTCTATATACCCCTGCTGCCAGCAACACCTGTGGCTAAAGACAGTGTTCTGGTTGTTGGTCCATCCCATTCCCATAAATGTGATTACTCAAAGCAATTTCATTTGGCACAAATATTTACTTTTGAATACCATCTAAAAATCAAACTGGGGAGCTGAAACAAACTTATTGGCCAGAGACAACCTTCTTTAATGTGCAGCACTCCACATGTCTAATAGGATAAAGTGATGGCAGTTTATACTCTGAAGATTAAAAAGACTGGTGGGTGGGTGTGTACATCCATGAGCATTTTGTTAACTGTTTGATTTTATTGTACTGCAGTTTAGAACTTTGAAATCTAGTTAATGTCTCTTCAAGCCTATGGGGAAAATACACATATTTATTGGCATACAGTTAATAGTATATAACCGATATGGTTTTGTACAGAGATTTGCCTGCTCTGCTTATTGTCTGGTGGACATGAGTTCTCCAACTCAGATGTCACATGGATGTATTCATCTGTTGCAGCATGAGCAAAGTGGCTTTCCTGCATTTCCAGCGCTGCATAACAGCCACACCCAGAGCGTTCGGTGGGGCGGGGCTTAGTTGTCACAACGAAAACTTGTCGTTAGTAAGACTTCCTGCCTTAAACTACTCTGTGAGGCTTGATGCAACACTGGACATTATCTGTTTTCTAAGTCCTGTGACTTGTGTTTTTGAAGGAGTATTAGAAAAGTATGAATGGGTCTGTCATTCAAATACCGCAGGCTGACTGACCTAAAGCCTTATTTGGCTGCAAATCTCCTGGTTAAGACTTTAGAAATTAAAATAAAATCTAATACGGATGCACAAGAAGGAGCTTTGCCAGTTAAGTGTCAGGATGTTTGATATTTAAAGAGCACAAGTGTAAAAAAACAAAAATTGCATCATTGACTGATTTTGGTGAATTTAATGGTACACAGTTTTAGTAATCTTCCATTGAATCTCTGTTCAGTCAGTGAGTAAAAAAGAGAGAAAGGAAAAACAATGTTAAAAATCTGTTATGTTTTTTATAAACTGTCAAAAAAGTAGTTTGATATGTTTTGAACCGAAGTAAGGAATATCTGACGTAAGCACTCCTCTAATGCCAGCTGGTGACCGTTTGCGAGTTCTGCTTGGAACATAGTTGCTATTAAATAAATTTGTGTCCCACATCATCTTTGAATTAGTGATGATCCTCAACAAAGATAAATCACGAATGACTGAAGAGGGTGCTGCACTTCACATGCACGGCTTCACAGCATTTTAATTAAATAAAAAATCTGACCTATTTCCTTGACCAACACCACAAAAAGTAGAAAGAGTGCTTTTCACGTTGATTAATCCAATTCGAGTACATTTCCCTGCTTTTTCTTAAGGGATATGGGGCAGGTTGTTATGATTATATGCCAAAGTATTATTTCTATTAAGAAGTAAACTTAATATTTCAACAAGCGAGAGAAATTTTTTAGAAAAGAGATTTGGGAGAGAATTGCACAACAGCAAAGATGCCAAGCAAAAAAAAAGATCTTTAAAGCATCAAAGTTCGAGTTAGGTTTTCTTCATCAGATGCTGCAGCGGATTTTCTGTAAGTAGTTTTCAAGCAGTGGTATCCACGAGAATGCTTAAAAAACGTAAAACTTTAAAATAACTGCCTAAACAGGTCCCCGGAGGCTTGTCAAGATGGCTGTCGAGTTGCCAGACTTGCTTCAAGCAGGATTTTATAACAGAGGTTGAAAACCACCTTTCCTGTATGTGCACACACCAGCAGTTACATAATATGACCACCAGAGGACACCAAAGTACGTAATGGATTTTACAGCAGACGTGGAAAGCACGACCAACAGCTGACAAGAAGCCCAAGCGAATAGCAAAGGAACTTCCGGTGAAGACTTAAAATAAAAAAGTACGAAAAGGTCCTATGGCCACGTTGTGCGCATGTTTCACTGATATGTGTCACATAGTGGTGAATGCTTCGGTTTAGGCGACCCTGAACTAAGAGCCACAGTGGAAAACATTTTTACTGTCAGCCTTACAGCAATAGAGAAGTAATCATGTAGGAGATCTGTAGAGTAGAAAATAAAGATAAACACTGCTTGTGTTAAGCTGTTTTGTAAAAAGAAAGTACGTAACTTACACAACTCCAACCATATCTACACGACGACAAAGCGTCTTACGTCACTACTTCTATTTTCGTCCTGCCCTTACAGCTCTTTAAAAATTCATAACATGTTTAAAACCCTGCCTTTGTATTTATTCCATCTGATCTGAGTGCGGCGCATACTGGTTCTGGGTGGAAACGGGGGGGGGGGGGGTGAGAGGGGGTCTTCGACCAGCCAACCGATCACGAGTCTCCCTATCGACCAATCAGGAGACAGGCAGGCTGTTCTTCCTGTTTGGCTGAGGGATTCATTATCGGGTGAGTAATAAAATCCAAAAAGTAGAAATATATTTGTAAAAATCTATAATTTTCCGTGGTGAAGAAACACTTCTACTTTTAGGAGTGTCTGATTTTAATTTTTACCACCAGAAGAGTGGGCGGTGTGGCGGTGTGGATTATCTTTTATTGTGTAGATTTCTGCCCGTTGTTTGTGTATGTGCGTGTGTGAGAGCTGCGACTAGTTAACGTTAGCCACACTGAACTGCTAGCAGTCAGGTTAGCTTGAAAATCGGCGTTATTGTGGGGAAATAGTTAATTATAATCGATGCTAGTAAATATATTTTGTACACTACTTAAACCTTCTAATTCTGCACAGATTTCTCCCCACGGAATTACTCTCTAACGGATAAACACGTTTTTATTCTGAGAGTCAGCTGCACGGACACAGATCATGGGAGGGATCAAACAAGAGCAGAGTGATGCATCACATCAGCCCAAAGCTTCACAGACAGCGGATCAACCCCCAGAAGAGGTGAGCACCGCTGCAGCTGACTAAAGTGGACTGGATTTGATGCAGTCAATTTCATTTAAATCTTTTAATGGGGAAAATAAGGGTGTTCATATTTGGTTAAATACTTTGCTTCAGCAGGTACACTCAGGTTTTTAAAAAAAAGTTTTTGGACTCCATGGAGGGTCCTGAAACTAAGGACACACTGTGACTCATTAGTCTGCCAGCAGGGTCTTGATGGAGTGCTTTTCTGTGTCTCTTCCATCACTGTTTTTGCATGCTCTTTAGATGTGGGCTTTAACTGGGCCATTGCAGCACCATGCTTTTTTTTCCCCAGCCATTCTGTTGAAGGTTTGCTGCTGTGCTTGGGATCATTGACCTTTTGCATGACCCAGTTTAATATACAGAGGAGTCAATGGTTGACTCATTGACTGCAAAACAAACCCAAATCATTACCCTTCTTCTGCCATGCTTTACAGATGTTTTGAGGTGTTTGTGCTGATATGCACCAAATGTCTTGTTGTGTTTTATGGACAAACATCTCTGCCTGGGTCTCATCGGTCCAATTGGCATAGTTCCAGAAGCCTCGTGGTTTGTTCAGATCTATATTTGCAATCCTGAGCCCTGCTGCCATGTTCTTTTTTTTTTTTAGAGCCAGTGGATCTTAGCTGATTATTAAGGCAGTCACTAGCTGCATCAGGAGGAGTTAGATTAGACTGTCCTTGCCTTTCTGAGACTGTTGTTTCATCCATCTCCAGCCCAAGAAAAGAGGCTGGCCGAAGGGAAAGAAAAGGAAGAAGGTGCTGCCAAATGGTCCCAAGGCACCTGTTACAGGATATGTGCGCTTTCTGAATGAACGGCGAGAACATATGCGGGCCAGATACCCTGATTTACCTTTCCCAGAAATCACCAAGAGACTCGGAGCAGAGTGGACACGATTAGCTCCGATGGACAAACAGGTAGCTTTTAAAAGTGTCCCATGCACATGCAGATTGTTCAATATAACACAAAATAACGTCATCAGCTGGATATTTAGTGATGTTTTGCACAGGGTGTTGTTGTATTTGAACATATTTCGTATACCAATAGCGTTATCTGGATGAAGCGGAACGAGAGAAGATGCAGTATGCCCAGGAACTGAAGGAATATCAGCAGACTGAGGCCTATCAGATCACCAGTGCTAAAATACAAGACAAGAGGATCAAAAAAGGTAACAACTACCCTCTGCTTATTGCTCTGTCTTATGTGAGCTGTATGTAATGCACATACAATTTTTTTTTTAGAAGACACACCATCTGCAGTTATCGGCACTAGTTCAGGATCCTCCTTAACAAAGGTAGGTGACGCTCTAATCAGTTATTACTGTTTTCTTCGGTGTCACTTTCCCGTCAGTTGTCCATTTGCTGACTCTTTCTGTTTTAGGCTTCTGACCTCTCAAACAGATTTGACATTCCTATTTTCACCGAAGAGTTCCTCGATCAGAACAAAGGTAACAGAGGAACTGACAGCGCCTGACTAGTAGTGTTAAGACAGAACTGTGCCGTTGCTCTGTTAGGTAATCGGACATTCTCGATTAAACTTCCAAGCCCGTCAAACTCTTTTTATTTTTATTCTCTGCGTTCAGCTCGAGAGGCAGAGTTGCGACGCCTCCGTAAGGCCAACATTGAGTTTGAGGAGCAGAATGCAGTGCTGCAGCGGCACATTAAGGACATGTACAATGCTAAAGAGCGCCTGGAGGCTGAATTGGGGCAAGATGAGAAACGTACCCAGGCTCTCCAGCAACACTTGATGGCTATTAAGCACACACTGGTCAACAGTCTCTCATCGGTGCCCTTGCCAGGTCAGCATTGCTTGGGTCAGACTCATGAAGGGAAATGCAGTAGGAGGGCAAAACATTAGATAATGCTGCTGTTATTGAATCTCTCTTTTTTCCTGACTTTTAAACATGTGGCTATAGCAACAGCAAGGTTTAGTTTATACATATTAGAGTCTCGTCTGAAATGATCAAAATTAAACATTTGCAGTTCTGTATTTATCCTGAACAGGTACTGGGGAGACAGCATCTCTTGGAAATCTGGATTCATACCTGAGTCGTCTCAGCGGAGTACTCGAGGGCAACCCTCATAAACACCGTGCCCTGCTTACCCAGCTTTGTGAGGTCCTATCTCACCTGGACAGGTAATCTAATTATTATATACAGTACTCAGACTGATAGGGTGGATAATTTAAAATAGAATAATGGAGCGAACGGATACTCTGTGTCGTCTTCCAAGAGATATATCGATTTTCTTGCCAAACACTGGCTCTCTGCGAAAGCAAAAGGTTATACCTGAGTTTGAATAAGTCTTTACACTTGAAATTCAATGTGATGGACTCAGACTGGGTGTAAACACCATCAGTTTTTTTTTCCCAGTTAGTGGTCTGGTCTTTGTTAATGTCAGCTCAGATGCAGCGTTTAGTGTTTAATGCTGCCAAACACATTTGACAACAGCTCAACACTTTGGCTTATCACATCCTGTTTTTGTCACAGATGTCACACCAGAGCTTTTTCTCACACTCCCTCCTGTGGCGACACAGGTGTTCGTGTCAAAAATACGAAGCTACGTCCAAAAGCTGGTTAGCTGCTTTGGGTTTTATACATATAAACAAACAAAATGTTTGTTTGTTACTTGGTCAGCCTTATTGCTCAGTTATAGAAGAGCAAATATAAGACAGCCTCCTTTGCAACTAGGAAAAGCTGGTGGTTGCCTGGTGATTGCGTTGAACTTTTTCACATTTGACCAACTGTTGACCCAGATGTTGAGCATTCCCCACCATAAAACATCTGGGTGACCACTTTCGATCTCGAGGTGACAGAACAGGTCACCTGGTGGGAGGCAACCTGTCTTCAAATCATCTGAGTCGGTGCTACTCAGCCAGTCTGCAACAGCAACAGATTCGCGATTTTTGCCGATTTAGTAGTGTATTATCACAGATCGGATCGAATTGCTAACCCGATCTCAAAAGTTTTATCCCTGACCGTGTCTGCAAACGTTTGCAGTCTGTTGCCATCTTCAAAGCAACTTTTCTAGGTGCTCCAAAGTTGCTTTGAAGGGAAAAACTGATTGCAAGTGATGCAGACCTGATCCCTGACTTCGAACCAACAAGAATACAAGTTCATTGGACACGGTTGCACTAATTGTAGTCATTAGGCTGTCTCCAACCACTGTTTTCCTGGTGTAACTGTAGCATTCGCTTTTACACTTCGTTAGTTGTTAGCAAACATTTTAGGCTCTGGTTGCCTGTCGTATGTTTACCTTTAGTTTATTCATTTCGGGTCACACCCTTTATCTCTTGAAGTGAAGTTGACTTTCCCTGCTTCACTAAATTGCCGCTTCTATAGTCGCTTCTTGCATGGATGCTTCTGTAAAGGCTGCATTTACTGCACAGGCATGAATGGTGTCAGTTTTCTCATCAAGAAAGTGAACAAACCAGTTTTTAAAATTTCAAACCATTACTTAGACACTCATGCGCTGTTATTAAACATATTTGTCTACATTATAAATATAACTTTTATCTTCAGAGGTGGTTGTGTTTGAAATGCCTCCAGAACTACTGTGTAGGGCTCCACATTTACTGATTACTATATTATTTTCCTTCAAAATGAAGCACGCTTTATGATATGTGCATTTCTATTTTTTAACAAATGCAACACACTAATATTGGTGCAAAAATTGCACGTGTCCAGGGTCTCCATTTTATCGTTTTGCTTTATATCTTGTCTCTAACGACATGTTTTCATTCTTTGCCAGTGAGAAGATATGAGGAGGCTGCAGACAGAGACACACCCAGTCTTGGATCACGGACACGCGAGAGGCTTGGTGCTTTTAGGTCAAATCATTGCCAATCAGCAGAGCATGTAGATAGGAACAGGTACTTCAGAACAACACACATAATCCATGTCTGCATGCTTATAGTTTATGAATATGTGTGGACGTGTGTATTCCCACACATACATTTTGTGAATGTAAGTCTGTGCGGCGGGGTTGAGGGGGCTTTACAATTCATAAATGTCATCAAATAAAATGTCATTTTACTTTCTGCTGCCTTAATTAAGTCTTTTGGGAGTCACCTTCCCCTTATCGTGTAGTCGTCTACAGGTACATGGCATGTACAGCAAGCCGAATGATCAGTTTACTGTAAATGATTTGTGGCGTGTGTTTGGCGGTGGGATGCATAAGTAGTTATTTTTAAAAACTGGAAAGGGGTGAGTATGCATGGTGGAATTTCTATTGATAATGTCAGGTTCTGAAATGGACAGTTTGTTTGCCATGTTGTCAGAAAACTGAATATTTGTATTTTTCCAGAGATGTTCATTAAACCATTCTGAAAATGGAGAATTTATGCACATTTATTGTTGACTTTATTGTTTAAAGTGCACAGCCTCATGTTTAAAACAAATAACAGAACAGCACGTCACACCTGCAGAGGTAGACCCCACAGCAGGTAACTAATTAGACGTGGTTTTGTTACATTCACTGACTGTAAAACGAGGAACTGTAATGATGCAGGGGAAGCTTCGTCCCAGCAGAGGGAGATGTGGGCCCACACACGGTTACAGCAACAGCAGCTGAATCCTGGACTAGCTTCACTGAGGCGTGCTTCATATTTTGCGAGTGTCATGCCAAGGTTTAAAAACGTCATCATTTCTGGTATTTAGATTTTTAAGTTGGTCACAAACAGCTGATGTGCTTCCAGTCGGGCACACTAAATCAACTTACCTAATTACTACCTTCTTAAAGTGGATGGTTTTTTTTGCACCTCTGAAATTTTTAAATCTCAAATTATTAATGGTAGAGGAAAGGGGAAAATCAAGCACCATCAAAACCATCTCCCAGCCCATCTTGAAGTATTTGATGAATTTTCCCTACTGTTCCCATCTTAAGATGGGAACATTAAAGAAACACGGAGGCACTGGAGACAGTTTTGATGGACAGGAGAGACACCTGTGCTGTCATCGTGGCCATAATGCTGCCTAACTACACTTTGGCTGAACGTTAAATTTGTGATGTTAGGAAGACCAGGCCTTCCTCCCACATTTCATCTGACACTGAAATGCCCAGTTCTTCCTGAAACGATCAATATTTACTAACGTCATAGATGTCATGACAAAGGGGTGAGTGTGTGTGTCACATATCTGTCAATTTTTCATTTGAGTAATTCATAAAAACGCTGCTTCGATTGTGAACTCTTAGATACATACATGTGTACAAATCACAAAATTGAACGTGGATTTAAAAAAAGATGAGGATGGGTATATTTACTGTGGAGCTGGAAGTATAAAGCATATTTATCTTTTCTATGTTAAGCTCACCAGCACAACAAAGTCTCTTCTGCTTCCAGTCCAGAAATACACAATCCATCTGTGCTGGTTTGAACAAGTGATTGTATGCTCTCGGGCTGTGTAGCAAGACATTTGGCAGTCCATAAAAGTTTTATTTGATTTGAAATCTGCAGGGAGTTTCTGAGAATGGAGTTATAACCACGTAATTTGTAGGAAGGCTGTACTCTGGAAAAGAACAGCACTCAGAGAGGTCTTTGAAAGTGACGTGGATTTGATTTTTAACCAGAGTGCAGAGACGGCAGACCGGTTGGCAGCAGGGGAGTCCCATTACCAGAAAGGGAGAGCACAGTAATGATACCTAAATACAGGAAGGCCAAAGCCAACCTGTGTTTACATTCTTCTACAAGCCAACTTTAACAATGCAAGGCTTTTCATGTGCCCAGACAAATCAAAGGATTACTGAATCCATTTGTCTGCACATAAAGGGGAAGGTTTTAGAAAACCTATAAGCATCTGCAGCTGATTGTATAATGCAGGCGATTGTGGAAAGGGCACCGATTTCCATTTTCTGCTGTGAGCCTTGAGTTTGTCAAAGAAATTCAACTTTATGAAAAATCTGGTCAGATGAATGTGTTACTGTTTACACTTTTTCTTCACTATTTGCCATTAGTAATAGGTATAGGTGATGCTAATTAATATAAACCAATATATTTGGGAATGTTTTGAGTTACCCTTCATTTCTTTATGTTTTGCTTCATAGGCAACAAATGTTTTTGACATTTTTAAAAGTGCTTTGAGCAATGCAATGCCAGTCTTTCTGGAGGGAAAGTTTTAAAGTTTTGGGGCATTGGCTGCTTTTTCACTCACTCTCAGTCCAGTCCTTGTCTTTCTTAGTCCGTCTGCCTGCTGCAAACGCAACAGGTCTTCATTTCTTCAGCTGAATCTATGAAAAATATTTTTAAAAGTGTTTTTTCATCAACTAGGTGATTCACAAACTCCTATTAGCCAAAAACTTGGCACATCTCAGCATGATGTGCAGTGTCTCCTTAAAAATCGTTGTAGTATATACATGGAAAAAGTGCCAGGTTTAAATCTACATCTGATGAAACAAAGTCCTTAAGAAAACTTCCAGCAAAAACCTGACACAAGATCTGAGATGTGCATCTGGACCTTTAGCCGATCCAGCTACTGTTCATTGAAGCCTCATCTGAAACGGTCTCAGTGGAAGGAAGAAGTCGTTCTTAAGGAAAGGAAACAGGGAGGGAAGGCTGAGGTGCGCCACAATATACAAGAACTGGACTGAAAATAAATTTGTGCCAACAGGTGTGATGGAGTGATGAATCCAAATTGTCATAGTTTGATTCACCATGCAATACCATCTGGAAAACATGTGATTGGCTTCATTTTTCAGCATGACAGGGATCCCAAACACACTCCCAGTGCAATTTTAATCCACGCCTAGATTAAAATCCACAGTGGAACACTATCAGTCATGGATTCCCCCCCAGAGCCTCAGCATTATTGAAGTAGTGTGGGAACCAAAAGCAGCCAACATCCAAATATTGACTTCCCTCCCCCCCAAACCCAATATAAAGAAATGAAGGGAGACTCGAGTAGTCTGCACATTACTGTATTTTTCCAAAAATGTCCAAAGTGTAAAGTTAGAAGTTAATAATCGGGGATTTCACTCCCCCCTCCCCCACCTTTACACACCACCACCACGCGCTCTTACGTCACTGCCAGGAGCTGTCCACGCAGCGGTGGTGCTGAAGCTGAACAAGATGGCTGTGTGTTGGGGACCGGAGAGCTGAGAGCGAAGGGGTGAAAGAGTCTCAGATATAAGCAGTCAGCTCATTCAAACCAGAGCGACAGGACGGCGGAGCTGGCGTTCACCCTGCAACTGTGAAAACTTTCATTTTGATCAGCTGTAGCGAATCCTGTCGGGCTCTGGTCCTGCTCGCTGGCGACGGCAGGCTTCTCCATCTCCCGCCCAGCCATTCATCCCCGGACTGTATACTGCACAGATTAGCTCTGCCAGTTAGGAAGCTGGATCCTGTACTAAAGGCGCAAATAAGAGATGTCATTGCTGTGTGTTGGAGGTAAGAGGAAAAACTAACAGTCCGTGCGCTGGCTTGACTTGCTGTCCGTTTCCTTGACCTGCTGATGTGAGCAGTTTCCATAGCTCCAGTAGTATCTTTACAGCTTTTGGAGGGTTGCTGGTGATACTTTTACAATAGCCACCTCCTGCAGATAACATTACGGAAAAAATCTGGGGCTGTTAAATGATCATTCGATGCAAATAGCAATCTATGAGGCAACATTTCCCATCACCTGCATGTTAGTTTGAATTTTTTCGCTAAAATATATACAGAAATCTTGCACTCCTCTTGCTGTCCATGCTAACGGTCCAGCCTCTTTTTTTCCTTTGATTTTCTTTTTCTTTCTTTTTTCTTTCTTTATTTCTTTCTTTCCTTTCTTTTTTTAAAATTTATTTATTTATTTATTTATTTTACAAAAGCTGGCATTGCTACAACCGGATCGATTTATGTAGTAGGCGTATGCTTCTGGCAGCTACTGTCAGACATAGTAAAGCAAGATGATATCCACTCTGCTCGTCCCTGTGAGGAGTGTTTTATTCTTTATTTTATAAAAGGTGATAGCATTTTGATTAAATATGTCGAATGGATCCCTCTCTCAGTTTCCACACACACGCTCTGCAAAAAGGCGTGTTCCTTTAGGCTGCTGGGTTTCTTTACATTATGATTTCCCCTAACCACGTGACTCATTGCAATGCTATAAAATTTCCATTTCTCCCAATCCGTCCTTAAACATTGCGAGATTTTCCAATTGTTTCCTGTTATTTAAAGACCCAAAGGGTTATTAAATATTGTCTATGATGTTTGTAAAAATAGAAATCTGGTGTTTAGCTGTAAAGGCTGTCAGTGAGGTGTCGATAAAACCTCAGCTGTCACGCTTTTGCTGTAAAACCTTTGCAGCATTTACAGGAAGTCACATGTGGCTGGTTTGGGGCTTCATTTCAGGCATTTTGTATGAGGAAAGGACTTCAGATCTTCATTTATTAATACATTATTTATTTTTTAACTGATGAAATGTGAATCCCTTGTTCGTAAATACAAATTTACCCACGTAGCTTTCCAGTTTTCCAAGTCTGCTTGTGCTAAAATTTGGAGAGTGAATTTGGGGGTGAGCACTTCCTTTTCCCCCTACATAAGGAACTCAAAGTTTATGTCTTGTGTGAGGAGATTTGTGCTTAAAATGACATTTTTCCTAAGAGTTTTTAAAAGTTTTCTGCTCTCCCTCCCAACAACAAAAACTTTCTCATGTTTTTTACAACAATGTCTTTACAACATATCCAAAGAACTGGCTTCTTTAGAGATGGCATTATAATTGCAGCTACAGCTGTGGGAGAACCACAAGTTTATGTAATCTAATATCTATCTATTTGAATGCATGCTGAAACTGTGCACATCTCTGCCTGTCGTGAGCCACTTCCTGGATACTGCTGCTCCTTTTACTTCTCGCTGAATTGATATGAGTTTTCCTGTTATTACAAATATTTTTTTTATAACTATTTAATACTTCTAATGCTTAGGATCAAATATGTGCTATGCAGAGAATCTCTCCAGAGTTTTGGTGCATTTCCAATTCTGAAAGGCTTGATAAGTTTTGTGTTTTAAGGGTTAGTGAAGAAAAGATGAAAAACGGGATTTCCTCGAGCGTCTTCCTGGGATTTAACAAGAGGTTAGAACAGGCTCTTAGTGTTTGCAAAGAGGCTGCTTTGCTGCTGACACCAGTGCTGGAGCTGATTGCACAGATGTCAGGATTGAGATTCAGGCTCGTTGGTGGTCCCTTTATGTCCTGAAGCTTTGTTGGCATAGCAACCCCATTGGTATTTTAGGTCTCTGCTGGCATTTTCTCATTAGCTTCTAAACACACTGTAATAGGCCTGCAGCTAGGTTAATATTGATACTATGTTCTTCCTTTCATGGTGGATGGGAGAAGAATAGAGAATTATGGGATGAACAGTATGGGCTGTCATGCTGGACTGCAGCAGTCACACAGTTTGCCTGCTGAGATGTGTGTGTGTGTCTCATGATGTTAGATCTGGTCTGTGAAATGATGGACTGTGCTACAAAAGCTGAGTAAGTAGATGGCAGCCATCCTTACTGTCACGCTATGTAGCAAGATGCAAATTCAGGCATTATAGCTCTATAAATGAGTGAGCCATGGCACATGCACTCATTAGCATTATTGTATAATTTAGCACCATACAAACCTTGACTACATTTGTCTTTTAATGTCTCGAAAACACTGCTATGTTACTGTACTGTAAATAAAGATCAGGAGCAATCATAGCAAAAAAAAGATGACAGCAAAGGGCAAATTTTTTATTAATTGAAGTATGTGCAACAGTTACAATGAAGCATTCACATTCTGTTGATAACAATGCTTAGGCTGTAGATACTCTTTCCTGTATATGCTATATATAATCTTTAAACGGCTGACTGGCAGTTGTGCTCTCTCAACGCATTTAGCATAATGGCACTCTAATTCTTGTTGCAGGTATTATACTGTAAGGTTTACTGTAAGATAAAGACCCTATAGTATTCTGGAGAAAACCCCAGCAATCAAACAACCTATGCGCTAGCACTTTGCAGCGGTGGGAAGACAAAAGCATGACTGGGTGGGGGTGTGAGGAGGAAGAGAAAAGAAAAAGAGAGCAGAGGGAGACAGGTGAAAAACAATGGGCTAAAGGAGAGAAGACACAAATTTAATGACATGCTGCAGGCATATATAAACGCGTGGGGAGTAAAAGAGAGGTCAGTGGAGAAGAAGTGCTCGGTGTATCACATGAAGTGCTGCAGCTGTCTAAACTTATAACAGCATAACTACAGGTTGGTTAATTCACCTGATCCAGCTTAAACATTAAGGCAAGGTTTTATTCTAACCTTTAAAGCAGAGAGGGTGTCTCTGCTGAATCCAAACTGGGAGCTGGTTCCACAGAAGACAGAAAAAAGCTGAAGGTTCAGCCTCCCATTCTACTTTTAGAAACTTTAGGCACCACAAGTAAGCCTGCAGTCTGAGAGTGAATCACTCTATAAGGATAATATTGTGCTATGAAGTCTTCAAGATACTATAAAAACTACTAAATTCAATTCTAAAAGAAAATAGAAATAAGCTCTCACTCTCTCCCTCACTCATCAGTCTCACTGCAGCATTTTTGATGATCACATTGTTACTTACTAATACCTTCGCCTAAAACATTGTGTCTGACCAGATACTGACAGATACTGGTTTCTGGTTTCTAAGGCTATTAGGACCAAATGTAGCAGCAGCCTCAGTTTTTTGGGTTTGGGAGAAGAAAATTGCAGAGCAACCACCCCTTTATGTAGTTTAATGTCATCTGGCTTCATAGATAAATAAAGCTGAAGATCATCTGCATAGCAATGAATATGTATTCTGTGTTTTCTGTTAGCATTGCTTAAGGGAGGCAGGTATAATGTAAATAGAATTGGTCCCAGCACAGAACCCTGTGGAACTCCAAGACTCCCCATTTACATATACATTTCTTAAAATCCTACACTCAACTGTATCAAATGAGGGCTAACAGCAGAAACACAAAAATTAGTCCACTATCAGCCATCGGCCCTAAGAAGGTCATTCGTAACCGTCACCAGTGCTTCTTCAGTGCTAAGGTCAATTCTGCAAACTGATTGAAACTCTTCAGTTATCCTATTATACTGCACATGATCGCCCCGCTGTTTTACAGCCACTCTTTTGTAGGTCTAAAGGCTAAGACGTCTGGCTCAAGTAAAAGCTTTTAAGTACTGGTTCAATTATAGCCACCTTGAAAGCCTGTGGTAAACATTAGTGACTACTTAGACCTTATTTACTAGTTAACATTATTAATAGACCATCAACTTCTAGTTGCACTGAGGTCACTGTGACTGAATATTATTTAGAAAACAGGGATGAGCTTTAATCACCAATTATTTTAGACTTGCAAGCTGTTTTTTTTTAATGAATGACCATTCAATCAGTGTTCTTTTCTTTTTTAATTATAATATTTGTAATTTCCTTCTGTGCGCTCCCTCTTCAGTACTACAGATTGATATTGCTGTTGCTGGTCTCAGTATAATGGCTCTGATGAAATAAAAAGAAATAAAAAGCCCCTTTAGCTCCTCTGAACCAGGGCACGAGTAAAAGTATTTGTCCAATTTCCCCGAGTGAAGAAAGAGAAAATGAAATCCTGTAATCACCGTGGCACCGACTCAACATTTTCTGTGGAGGTTTTGCACAAAATATGTAACTCTCTTTATTTTTCACCCACACCGCAGCAGTAACTAGCTACAGCAGTGTTGGTTTAGTCTCATGCCTGTGAGCAAGTAACCCCTCCACCACCCCACCCCTCTTCCCCCAGCTCTTACACACACACACACACACACACACACACACACACACACACACAC